ATAGTGGAGAAAAAGATCGGAGTTAAATGTCATGTGTAAGAGAACATTTCATGATGCAGTCAGTGTTTCATCCCCAAGCTGTATACACAGACCGAACAGTGCATGCGGGTAGGAGTGGGAATCGTCAGTACAACTTTGTAAGAAAAACAAGGTGCTGATGGCATGGATTTCGTTCTACGAACAAATGCAGTGTGAATCATCGCATCTGGATTTACGCTTTGTAACCGACCAGCATTGAACAGCAGAACTACTGCAGCTTGTAAATCGACCTCTACAACGAATGATTTCAAGCAGTTATATACAAAAATCATCGTTTTTGGCAATTCTAGGGAATTGTGATATTGGATTACAAAAGCGCAAAGAGGATTTGTTAGCTACTTTGAGCAGAAGAAAGGAAGGAAGATGGAATCTGGATGACTTAGCAAAATCAGAAAAGCTGTGCGTGATGAATCCCTCAGCAAGCTTTTGAGGCGATTGTGTACGCTTCAAGAGACCATTAATACCATTGTCGACGGACGAAAATTACAGTAACACGAAGATTAAGCGGGATTTTGGATGTCAGCAAGCTGTACCTCGCAGCGAATGAAGGAGCTGCGGCCACTTTTCAATGAAATAGAAGAACTTAAGGAAGCATATGTCAGGAAGAGAAGCAGGGCTGGTCATGTAGCAAGGATGACTGATCACAGATGGACGAAACGAATAATTGAACATTCCACGATGTGTTAAAAGAACAATTGCTGTTGCGCAGGGTTGATATACTAACTAGGATCTTTGGTCTGGTAGGGATTCAGCGAACACGAGGCTGTAGCCGAAGGTCAAGTTGAAAGCTGTATAGCACGAAGATCCAAACTGTTCCAGATATTCTAGGCAATGGAGTGGTGTATATCGCATGCGAATTTCTTATTACTGCCAACTAATGCATGTGTTGTATGAAAATGTAATTTACCAAATAATTCTATAAGTTTTTCTTTTTTTTTTTTAATTTTAGGCCGAATCAGAAGAATGGGCGTTTCTTGGCTCGGAATTTATCAAGGAGATGATCGCGATTGCAAATTCAAACAAAGTGGAGCTTGGTTTGTTACTTTTTTCCACAATTCTGTTTTTTTTTTGTATTTAACTTTACGATTTTCGTACCAATTCGTGGTGCTCTCCCGATTGGCTTCCGATTGAGCGAGGCTTTGAAACACTCGATTCGTTAGGAGTCTTTGTGAAATTTGATTGAGACAAAAATTTTATCATTCAGATGCAAAGTGTGGCCAAAGAGTCGCAAAATTTAGGAATTTTTAAGTTTTAACTGAAAATGTAGCATAATATTAGAAGGCGAGGAGTTTACTGATTCTAGCGTCCATACGCTAAAAATTCCATTTTTTGGTTTAAAAAAAAAAAAAAACAAAAACAAAAATAAGTGACAGGAGCGTGGGGAACGGGGGAGGGGGAGGAGGAAGGGTGAGGAGCTCATTTTGAGGGTCCCTCTGCGCGATCGCCAAAAATTAAGGCTCCTCCTGCTTTTAGCTTTCCGATGCATCCGGCCATATTCCTCCTGTCCCCTTCTTCACTCCACTGTTTTTTCTTTGGTCAAATCAGTAGCTCAAGGGAATTTCATTTCCACTTGTTTGGTTTAAAAATACAACTGGTTTTTTTAGCACCGAGTAGCGAAAGGGTTGTGCAGTTTGTGTCGCAGCCAATATTCGGGACGATGTACTGGCGTGGAGCTCCCGCCCAATTCGGCAAAAATTTGGATTACAAAGCAGTGAGTATTGGAAATTTGATGATTCGGTTCAAATTAGATGGACAAATGCCACTCTTTCCTGACCTTTCCGTGGCATTTTTTGCTCACATTTAATCAGAAAATTATTATGTTTGAAAGGTAACATTTCGTGCTACTGGACTGCGCTACAGAGAGATTTTAGGGCTCCGAAAGAGCTGATTTTTTAGACGATTCTTTAGCATGTGCTCAGAAAATTAACAAAAAAAAAAAATGCGGGATTTCAGAGGCTAAGAATTGCAGTTGTACTTTTCATCTGAGGATTCGTGAGGGAGTGGGGAATGGTGGAACGGAAAGAGGTGCTAGGGGGGGGGG